AGCAAATCTCTTATTTTACCAGTTATTGCACTGGAGGTGTGTGTGTGTGTGGGGGGGGGGGGGGGGGGGGGGGGGGGTTGGGCCTGTATTACTATATACATTAGTATAGCATTACTATATACATTTTAAAAGATACTTCGGGTGAATTTTCCAATATTACTTCTGAAACATTACAGGAAGGATCAGAGCCAAAACCAGGAGTGGTCAAAGTGGCATACTAGTTTGCTAGGTGCACAACCACAAGGTGGTTCTGGGTCAGAATAATCCTGGTAAGCTCCAGGCTCACTGTTACCTCTACAGAGGATCATTCAGATTGAGGCACTAATGAGCTACAACTGAAAATCAGTCCCTCATGCATACAATGACCTCAAAAGAGAAGCAATTGGACTAAGTCATAAGTGACCTGAACAGACATGTGTCACACAAAGCTCTGAGGGAGTTCACCGAACTGGGGAAAGTTTAATATGCATTTCAGCTCATCAGTGAGGGCAGAGTAAAGGGGGATATTTGGGGAAAAATAAAAAAAATCTACTGGTGGCCAGAGGACTCTGATGTTCTGTGTCGGAGACATGGCAAGGGTTGCGAGTGGGCGGGGGAGGACAGTACAGCTTAAAATTAAAAATTTGAATAAAATAAATAACACAATACAGCAAATAAGGATTTAACCATATAGCAATCAAGACGGTCTTTGAGCAAACTTCACCGGCTCACCATCAATCCATCCGCAGTTCGCACGAGTTCAGCCGCAAGCTGAACAGCTTTATTGACACATCATCTGGATGAAGTGCAGGTATGTAACACTTGTGACAGCACATGAGACACCAGCCTGTCATAACACTACCAGGAAGATCAACCCAAGGGCAGCAGATAGCACTGCAGACACATGAAACCCTGGGGAGCCAGTGCGGGCAAACAACAAAAAGTGCTATGATGAATAAAAGGCACACAGGTCTTTGTGCAGTCAGGTTAGTGTCAGATTTTAGATTTGTGCCAAAATGCAGTAGCAGTTGTGGTCAGGGGGGGGGGGGATCACTAAGCAGAACAGTCAAATTGCCACTAACAGGAGCACAAATCCAGTGAGTGCTGAATGGATGCTACAGAACAAACGATGACCACAGTACAAAGTATAAATGCACCAAAAATAAATACCAATGGATTGATGGGGCCCTGTCAGTTTGCACAGGAGATACGGCTCAAATACACCAAGAGCATCACTGCCCACCAGAACGACAGAAGAAAACTGTGTACAAATGAGTGCAATACAAATGGCAAAACGTAAAAAGACGGATAAATGGTGGCAGGAAGATGGAAGTAAGAGCAGATGGGAGGCGGTGGGGTCACAGTGACACATTGCAGTGATGCAGTGGTGCGGCTTGTTAGAGAGGAACCTAAGTTATGGGGTGCATTCTTCCCCATGCATCATTCTCCTTCACTGCAAGCTTGTCAGGTTATGCTCGACAGAGCCCCCCCTCCCCCCACTGACACGCCTTCCATGCAGACATGCACACACGGCCCATTCGAGGGCACACTTCTACAGAAAGACTGACAAAGCCAGAAGAAAGACACCAGAGAGGGGTTAAAGCCCTGTCTGATGTCCCGCTAAAAGATCAGGAGATGCTTATTCCTCCTCATCCAAACCAGTCAGTCATGCAGCTAACTCGGGTTCAGATACGTTACAGCACTGTCCTCACTAGGGCTTTATTTAGCCTACAGAAAAAGCCAAGTCTGCAGTTTGAAACTTTATGGTCACAGAATCACTGTGAACCCTTGGAATAGTCTGAAAACTTACTTTTTTAAAGTGTACTCAGCCATTACTACTAAATAAGCTGAGCACAGAACTGCAGTGGATCAAATCAGTCTAAATCTAAGCTTGGCTTGACCTAGCTAAACCCCACACACAAAACTTGCCACTTTTAGAAAACAACACCTCAAAACTTACTTTCACTGTGCAAACAATCTGTCCCACACAATGACTTACCATTGGCTGCTGCTGGTAGGCACCGTGCGGAGGCAGCTGAGGCGCTGACTGCTGGGGCAGGCCCAGCTGGGGGGTGGAGCCTTGGTAGGAGCCCTGAACGGAGGGCGGAGCCTGCTGCTGTTGCGGCGGGGCCGGCTGCTGTGATGGCAGCTGGCTGGTGGTGGAGCTGTACGACATGCCTGACTGGCCCAGGAGCGACTCGGCGAAAATAGAGGAGCCCCCTTGACCGCTGTCCACTGTCCCTGTCGCTAAGATCAAACAAAAACTTGTGTTGAAAACAGCCTTCAGCCATTCAGTCATTATCCATGGTAAACCTAAGAAGATCTGGGACGTATTCCACAAAGCAGGATCTCCCACTTAGCTGGATAACTTAAACCAAATGTAGTTTGCATGTGCTTTGGTGTAACTAAAGGAACTCCTAATGGGCCACAGGGAACAGTTTCAAACTGACTGGACATCTACAACCCTGAGAAAGACGGGTAAGACTCATGTCCCGAGGCACCCCAGGGATGCGGACGTACATGTCATAGACATTGCAGTCTGCTGCTGCTGCTGCTGTTGCTGCTGCTGCTGCTGCTGCTGTTGTTGTCCCTGCACCTGCACCTGCTGCTGCTGCAACTCCACCTCTAGCTCTTCCGCTTCAGTCTGAGCTGGGCCAGGAGGCTGGGCCTTCTGGCCCTCGGCCTGCCTCTGCTCCTCCTCCTCCTTCTTCAGCTTCTCCTGTACTTCCCGAACCAGCTGCCTCTGCTCCCGCTTGCGGCAGATCAGCGAGACGCGGTCCTTGATGGCCTTGGCCATGGTCTTGTGGTCCCCCTCGCACACATAGCCAGACTCCACCTGTCACAGAATGAGTCAGAGATGCAGCAGAGCTCAGCAACTCCACATCTGTGGCTTTATAGTCCACTGTGCATTTTGGACAAGAGAAATTGACCAATATTTATGAAAATAGGCTAAAAGATGGCAAAGCAAATGACATAACCAGTTCTGCTTCCCATGCGCTACGAAGAAACTGCAAAGGGGGTGTGTTAGGGGCAGTGGGGGTGCAAGGTTTTAGTGTGGAAAGGACTTTTAGGACTAGAATCATCCCAAGACTCACAGAACAAGAGATCAAGGAAACGCATGCCCCGGGGCCCTGTCCAACATACCATCTCCTGGGCAACATCTTCAGGGACATCCTTTTGGAGGTCGAAGGAGAATTCGATGGCCTCGTTTTCCTTGTACTTGCCCTTGAGTTTCTTCACGTCCTCAATGCGCAGCCACAACTTAATGGCGATCATCTCCCCATCGTCCTCCTCGGCCAATTCCACACGCACACCTGTCTCTTCCTGGAAGAAGGCGTGGTTCAAGAGGTCTTTGATGGCATATCTGAGGGACAAGGCAGAATGGCTGAGCTTAGTCGAGGAAATACCAGCCCACAGGATGACTGGAAGACAGGAAAGATCATTTCATTGTTCAGCCCATTCTCAAATTAATCATTAAATACACGAATAAAGGGTTAACTAACCACCACAAAAAAACACAACAATTCAGAAAAATGATGACGTGCTGTTACTGAGTGTCACGTGACAGTCTTGAGTTATAAAGTTTGCCTGATGGTCATCGTAGTTCAAAAACAAGCAAGAAAGGTCAAAAACAAGCAAAAACTTTCATGGAAGTTAGATGGCTTCTAAGCCACAAATTAAATTGGCCAATCAATTATATAAATGTACAAATAACATTTATGGTTTACATAAAGTTAATCAAGTGTTTTTACATTACCCCACATCCCTGCCGAGAATAAGTGAGTGAAGAATGGATAGATTTTTACATTAAAGTCTAAAGTTATATGAAACTACCACCTTAGTTATCAATATGGGGCTACAACTGTTTTTTTAAGAATGGGGCAGTCAATTAGCCCTAATGCAGAGTCCTCAACCCCCTACATAAATCTAACAGCAGCACAATATCAAATTGTCCTTACGAAGGCAGCTGTGCAGGTAATCCTGCACATATAGGTTACTGGAGGGGAGAAAGGGGGAAACATCACCATCAATCCTCAATGTATGCAGGAGCACAGACTCTTTAAGGCCCAAGGCAAATTTTATACAGAGTCAAAAAGATATAATTCTAAAGCAGGATCATCTAAGCTCGTCTTATCAGTAAGTGCTGCTCCAGCTCACCCACATCCCCTGGAGGCAGGGATAGCAGAAACAAGGCAATCAGGGGCTTGAACTTGGCCCTCACTCCGCTGGTAACCCCAATGCTGCCTGCTGCACGTGTTTGGCCGGCAGGGCTCACCTCTCGTCCTTGTTCTGACGAATGCATCCTTCGATGATCTCCTTCACTTCCGGTATGGCTACCTTGTCGAAGCTTCCGGGCTTCACACCCTGAGAGGGCAGAACACCACACAGCATTGAAATGGATACCAAAGCAAGAGGCCAGAGCAGTCAGCTCGTTCAACAGGGGAGACCTACAAAGAATAATACACCTTGTGCTCTTACTAGACAAGGAATTTTGGTGGTGAAGTTGGGTTAACGGTGTATTCATGTGCTAGAAAAAAAAACCCACAATCAACTCGTACGCAAATAAGACGTTCATGACAAATAAGGTCTAGCCCCTCGATCTGGTTTTACAGACTAGTAGCTACCTACGTTTAGAAGACCAATATGAGCCCCAAATGTAGTGTGGGGAAATCCCGCAGCGACAGTGCTGGGGAAAACGCATGGCCAGCGTCGCCCCCTATAGGCTGTAAGTCCACCTGCATTCCAAAACTAGGGAATGCAGGCAGTCTAGACCAACGTGTGTACAGCAGCTAGCTGAGCTCTGCAGCCTGCTTACTTCTGCAGATGAAGCCACCCGGAAACTGAAGAAACTGGATTCCCAGGGTGCGAGAAGAGCGAGCATGTGACTGCTGCATTCGCTAAAGACAAGGTGCTGAGCTGGGTGCTGTAGCTCACTTATCAAGAGTTACCCACAGAACACCTGCAGTCACCCTGCCACAAGGGGGAGCAGTTAAAGCAAGTTCTTGCCCAGAGCTTGGCCAAACTCCCTCAGACTGACAGGAGGGATGCAATTTCCCTTTACCTCATGTTTGCCCTTATGGGACTTTTATTGATATTGCTCTGGTAGTTATTAACCCAGCTGGCAAGCATATGCAAGGCAAATATGTTTGAGCTCCCACAAATATGCCAAGTGCAGTTATGATGCTGTTTTCAATTAATCAGACTGGGACCTGCCCCCTGCCACTAGCCCTTAATGCAGGAAACACAACCACAAAGCAGAACAGGTGAGCAATTAAAGTCTTGATCAAAACATAGTGGTTCTGAGCTACCACAACTGGCCCACCACGTTTATCCGTTAATGTTGATCAAATTTAGTGACAACATGCAGTGGACTTAAAAAATAATAAAATAGCCTGTTAGATATGCAAGGCACACACTCAGATTTTAAAAGCCTGCAAAGAACTTATGGAATAACCAAATCTTTCATAGGTGCTTCATGGTAACAGATTAGATTTATATCTGTATCCACATTCACTGTAACATGTTAAGCTATCGGATCTTACAGATTATCCAAAGAACTGTCAGAGCTGACCACCTAAATGCAAGGTCTAGACCAGGGTTCTTCAACTCTGGACCTCAATTCCAAATCCAGGCCGTGTTTTCAGTTCTTCCAAGTAGTTGTTTAATAATGACTGATTCTGATTGGTCAGAGGCTTCACACCTGACTGACAGGTAAAGGAAGGCTGGAAAACCAGCAGTGCTCGGACCTCGAGGACCGTGAGTTGAATAACCCTGGTCTAGACTTTCAGGTGTCCTTGCACACTAAATGACTACTGCTGCACTAGGTTTTTCATAAAAGCCAATGAAAATTATGGGACAAACCATCCTGGATGGTAGAGGAGGCATCAAAAAGCATTCAGAAAGCACAGCATATAGCTTAAAATGCTTTTCACAGAATAAGGCAGCCTTTAAGAACATCGGTCCTAATGTACACATTCACATCAAGCTCTCTGAAGGATCAAATCATTAGCATGCCTTGATTTGCTCAAGAAAAAAAAAAAAACACTTACCAATTCGAGTCAGAAAATGAGCTGTTCAAAATGAGGATGACATGGGTACACAGAGCAATGGGAGCTCACTGCCCCCCAACAGTGCCGTCCTCCCTTAGATACTCCCCTTATATAAACACCCCCACCAAAAAAAACTCCAGGGCCAAACAAAGTTAGGGATGACGGAAGAGGCAATTGAATCAAGTATGAGAAGCGGCAGTGGAATAAGGAAGCGATTAAGCAGCTCATTACCAATAACCCAGAGCTCTGAATGGGAGGCTCTACGCTGGACTCTTGCCGATCTGAGTATTGTGCGAGCCAGCAAAAAGGCAATGGACATCTGGCCTTTAAGAGACCCAGAGGTGTTCGCAAAACAACACCAAATCTGCAGAAGGCAAACTGACTGTACAGTTCGACTCCCAGACTCAACCAATTAACCCTGAAGTACAACTTATGACCACTCCGATTCCTTAGCTTATGCTGTCATGGGAGCCAGTCCGAGGAACATTACCTCCATCACAGAGCAGATAATCAGAGATTCATTCAAGGGAGGAAATAAGGACAGCAGCAATCGGGAAAGGCTGTCTGAGGATAGTAAGATCTGGGCTGAGCCCTCAAAGTCTTTCTCGACACAGAGGCTCAAGGCAACAGCTGTGTCTCCAATTTGTGTTTAGGCCGTCTGAAGCTGCCAGAAGCTGGGAGGGAGGGGGTTGGGGGACATTCTTCACTGCATAATCATTAAAATAAGAAGGGAGTCCGGTCGATCAAACAAACAGCTTGCTGGGCAACGTCAATCTGGCAAGATGAAAACCTACCCTAAGAAAAATGTGGGAAATGCTGAAGGTTGGGTAGCTGTGTCAATTTGATAATGCTGGAAGAAAACTGGATAAGCAAATCTCTTATTTTACCAGTTATTGCACTGGAGGTGTGTGTGTGGGGGGGGGGGGGGGGGGGTGGCACTGATGTTCACTTGCATTTTCCTTTGGAGATTTTGCTACATGGTTAAATATGTAATATCCTGAATTAATATTAACAAATGTTAATGGAGGGGCTAAAATGGATATTTTTTTAATTATTGTGGTATCTGTGCCATCGTACCTTTACATTGCATGCTTTGTAAACTTACTCATAATAAAATTATACATTGGAACGGAAAAGACCTAAGGATTCCAGACGCTCTCTACCAGAAGCTGCTCAGAGGGGCCAGGTGATTAAGCACAGGATTTTCTTTTGTTCTGAAATATTCACTTGTGAAACTTGTGCTTGAGGTTTTTTCTTCAGATGTCCCATTTCCCTGAAGCAGAGAAAGAGCAGCAGCAGCAGCACCCCCTGCTGGCAGACAGGTGCCCTACATCACCAAGCTCATTTTCTTCAGCCTCCTCAGGGGGCAGCGTCATGTACTGCATTAGCTGCTCCTGCTGTGCTGCAGCTCCTTATGACTGCCAGACTTACCAGATGAAAGATCAACTCAATTTGCAGCAGGAATAAAACAGCCACCAGTTAATGGATGTTAAAAGCAAACAAAAGCCAAATGAGACCACAAGGTTGAAGCTCATACAAGACTGACCAGCCCCTAAAAAGACAAACTGCTCTCTAGATGGGGCCTGACAGCACATTAATGGCATATTTTGCATTACTGAAGACTGAATCTCCATTTGTCATTTGGCTCTTACTATTAATATCCGCAGAAGGTTGAACTACTTCGTTCACAGACTTCTGAATAGTGGTCTTTTAAGTGCGTGTTAAGCCCACATTTGAGCTACACTAGACAAAACTAATCCAAATAGAAAATCTGATTAGAATTGCAGAACACAGTTCAAATTGTGAAACCTCATTTACGCCAATGAAAAGCTGTACATAGCAAAACACAGACTGTGCAAGTTAAAGCACAGAGCAAAGACCATCAAACAAGAGAAACAAAACTATATTTGAATGCTAAATATTAACCATTATGCACCTTCTCTGTGTGTATCCTCTGTCATGTGACTATCACTCTATGAGACCCTTAACCCTGAGACACTCTGCTAAAGAACACCATGTTTCCTTATAGCAGATCCTGGGCTTTGAAACTGAACCAAAATGCCCCCCGACACCTGAAAGATCGACACGGGCCAGACCACCAAGGGTGGGTATGTGTGGAGAGGCAGTTCAGGGCGTAGGAAGGCGATATCAGAAAGGGGAGCTTGGCCTCGAGGAGGGAGATCAAGGCGGAGGGATGTGCAGGAGGGAGGATAGACTTACGCTGGTGACTCTGCGGTAGATCTGTGCCGCGTTCTGACACTCGGAGTACGGGTACTCAGAGGTGGCCATCTCCAGCATACACATCCCAAAGGCATACACATCCACTGACTCGTCGTACTTCTCCTCATACATCTCAGGAGCCATGAACTCAGGGGTACCTTAAACCAAAAGAACGATTCAGAACTCTCAGTGCCTGAGACTGCAGACTCCTCCGGCCTACTCACCGAGGAGGGCGAGGAGGAGGAGGGAGAGGAAGAGGGGGGCGGACGAAGCCGGCAGTCGCTGGAGGAGAAGACCCTGTGAGAAGACAGAGGAAAGCGGAAGGGGGAGGGACAAAAGAAAGAGGGGAGGGAAGCCACGCTAAGTCAATCTGCAGTGAATGAAGCACAAGTTTCTCTCTGTAAGGCCTTCGGGGGGGGGGGGGGGGGGGGGGTCTTGAGAGATGTGTTGGTGCACAGAACAGGCTGTGAGGCCCAAATGGTGTCCATTACCTAACGCTAACGCTAACCCAACCAGTCAAGGGTAAGTCAAATAGGCCAAGAGGAAGTGAGTGGGCGGAAGGTTAAAAAAACGAAACAAAACAGACAAATCCAGTGTAAGATTCCCTCTCCTTTCCTGACTACAGGCGCCTGGTTATGAGGTTAGTTTCAGGTGCCAACAGGTAATTTACTTTTACCTCCAAGGATCAAGGTAGCCCAACAATAAGTGAAGAGGTACTAGCTATGGAACTAACTTGTGTCAAAGTGGACCATACCCTCAACAAACAAGCATATAGATAGTTTTCTGCACAACTTACCTTTTCATCGAACCTGTGAGAAGGCAAAGCTTAGGTAGTTAGAGACTAAACAGAAGCAGATCCCATAGCTAGTGTGTTTGAACAGCACTGTTCTGTACACCGCAGTAGCACTGGAAACTAAACCAAAGGCCTTTCAAAGAAAAACCGAGGTATTTGGGAAAATACAAGAATTTGTTTCTGAAAAGGTCACGTAGTGCTTGTTCACTTACCAGGACCACTTTCTGTATACTTACTGTTGAAACTGCAGTACATAATATAATCCATACTGCAGATTGAGCGACAGAGTTGAGGTTATAGCCTATAGTTAAAAAAAAAATACTCAAGAATGTAAAACAAAAAAAAAGGGGAAAAAAGTTGTCGATTAAAGGAAAAAGGCAGGTAGATGATCAGACAAAATAATCATGTGACCTTAAAACGCTGAGAAGGGGAGAAAAAAGGAAAAACTGATGAGGCAAACCCTTAGAGAGAGAGATGTTACATTCCATTGGATACAGGTCAGCTTTCACAGAGCGCAGAGCACAGGTTTTCAGACACAACTAGAAGGGATCATCGAAAACCGTACGGCCCCCGCTGCCCTCACGCAGCCACACTGCACCCTCCTATGCTGCCCTGTCCGCCACACACTTACAGCCTTTACCTGCAGCTTCCTACCACGGCCCCTTTATATGCACTTTTACACAGGGAGAGATGACAGGAGTGGAAAAACTGCTGCCCTCTGCTGCTGAAAGTGACAGATGGCCGCTTGGCTCTCTAGTTTCCTGATGGAGGGTGGACACTCTTCACCAAGAAACTGGAGATGCTACGGTCACTGAGGTATGGTTTTGTAGGGAGGGGGCTGGAAAAACTGAGCTCTGCTTCCCAAAACAGCAATCAAAATGAGGATGACATTCAAAAACTGAATTTAAAATATATTTACAAATTCACCCAGTCACCCGGTCACTTTGCGTTTAGTGAAGAAATCAAACATTACGAAATATATTTTAAATTCAACCGGCACGTTGCGAGCTTAAGGGGAAGAGACGCGGGGGACGGTCACTGAGGCCTGCTGACTCGTACCTATGACACTCTTGGCGAAGGAGGCCCTCTTGAGCGTTGCCAAGCCCAGGTCGCCGATCTTGACGGAGCCCGTGGGGCCCGTGATGAAGATGTTGTCACACTTGAGGTCCCGGTGGATGATGGGAGGGGCACGCGTGTGCAAGAAGTGCAGCCCCTTCAGGATCTGCCGGCACCAACTGCGCAGCACCTTGATCTTCATCACCTTGAAACGCTTCAGGTACCTGAGGAGCATGAGGGCCAAGGGGACGGGATTACACACGGGGGTGGGGGGGGCGCGTGGTCTGGGTCACCATGACAACAGATTCTCTGACACTGACACAATAATGAGGTTTGGTAAAAGTCACAGACCTGGAGGATTCCAAGCAGAAGGACACACCCCACCTCAAAAAAGCACCAGTTCTTTCTTAGGTTAGTTTTTTATGACATCACAGGGCTTTTGACGCCCAAGCACGTTTTACGTTAAAAGCTGAAAAAGCACTCTACCCTTAGGGGTGTACTATTAGCTGAATTCATCTCCACCATTCTCCCCTGCCAAGCAGAAAGGAATTGATCTTTAGTGCAGCATTTTCCTAAATCAAGCCCAGGTGCCCTTGCAGACCCAACCTAATCCATTTAAAACGTCAAGGGGGAAAACGGCAAAATCTTCACAAGGTTACCTGTGATAAAGCTCCCGCAGACAGGCTGATATTTTGAGAAGACAAAATATCATATTGTCAGTCATATTTCAGCTGCTAAACCGCTGAAGTCTCTCTCTCATACACGTCAAAAGTGGTTGACAGGTGCAGCATTTGTTCTGACAGCAGTAAAGCATAACCACTGAGACGGCACTGCAGGCCGTGCTGTCGAGGTGAGCGCTTCTTCCTGAGTGGCATACCCAGGACGCGGTTCGGGGGCGTGCATCCCAGTGATTCCATTAGATAAGGCATCCTTAATGGAATCATCAGCAGTCAGCCACAGTCCAGGAAGCCCCGTCACCGCAGCCTTGTTAGGCCCGCGCCTGCTACCCAACCTAAATGAGGCTCTGCACGTACACATGGGCCACACCTAGTCCAAGTATTAGAAACAAAACTCGCATTTTCCTATCGTATTACAGTGGCTTCGGTAATTCATACCAACGGTTTAACCAAACATAAAACCGGATGGCCACCGCGCACGCAGAGAAGCTAAACCGATTAGTCAGAGGTTTTCCGGAAAGCTGTAGGATACCGAAAACCTCGAACGGAGGTAAGGAGTTTATCCACCAAAGAAGTCGAGGTGCTGGTCACACCCATCACTGGTGGTTAATCCTGACATCCCAGGATGTGCACACACACAGAGTGCCGACTTTGCCCTCCTAGCACCGATTCCTGCCTAACAAGCAAAAAGTGATCCCTGTGATTGCTGGACCACGGTGAGGGGAGATGCACACCCCAACCCGCTCTGACAGACGTCATGTCTGATCACGCAAGCCGCCGCAGCAGCCGGCGGCAGGGGCACAGGTAGGCTCCCGGCTCGTTCCCGCTGCGTCTCCACCCAGGCCGGCCCAGGCAGGCAGGCCTGGAGAGCGGATGGGGGAAGACATGCAGCGGCAGGTAGGCCGGCAGCCTGAATCACAGAGCGAAATGTGTCAGGGCAAAAATATCCTTTTTTAATTAAACATCTCACTGGGCTGTTAAGGTGGTAGGAATGCGGAGAAGGTGCAAGAGAGGGGCTCTGAATACTGACACTGAACTGCAAGTCCACAGGGGGGGGGGTGCCGTTTTCACGTGCCCCTTCTGTGTCCATCACTAACACCATCCACTGCTGTAGCAGGTGCCTGGGCACCACCCATCCACAACATGAGGAACCCAGGCATGGACATTTTTGTTATTTTCTTCCCAAAAAAGTGGAAGAAACTGACATGAGGAGGGGGAAAAAAGTCAGAAAAATGATAGACAAACTGAAGGACTGAAAAAGAAAAAATGCACAGGGTCAGGCTTACGTTTTGAGGGTCCCCGAGGTCATGAGCTCCGTCACAAGCACGATGCACTTCTTGCCCTTGGTGGGGGACTCCCAGGAGTCGTAGAAGCGCACGATGTTTGGGTGCTGCAGGCCCTTCAGCATGCCCGCTTCCTCCTTGAAGCGCTGCCGCTCCGACTTGGACAGCTTGCGGTCCTGCAGGAAAGGAGCAAGGCGACAGGCTCAGCGATAGAGAAGCACAGTGATAATGCACAGCTGGCCACTGCGGGAACTTCACCTGACATGCTGCTATCTCAGGAACATGACAATGGAGCTCATTAAAAAGGAATGGACAAACCCAGCACACGCAAGCACACGATTACACCGTAATTACATTTCAGCTTAGCAGGGCAGACATGAGTCCGCAGGAGCCTAGTTAGTGTCTTGCTTGCCTGGCATGAGATACTGAGATTCTGATCTGTCACGTGACCATCCCAGAGCATGGGAACATGGGAAGTGATCCTGGAAATATTTCAGACCAGCCACTTTCGACTGCTTCTCCAAAGGATCCTACTGTACTCTGACACATGGCAGACCAGACAAGGCACTGATGCTAAACCACAGGCCCAGTCCAGTTTGGCTTCTGCTTTAGGCATTCTTGTTTTTTAATTTTTTTTCGTCGGCATAGTGAACAGGGATGAGCCAATTCCAGCCAATTCATCTCCGCACCACTCCATGCTTCCCCAGCCGGCAAACCCCATGCTGCCCACAGTACGGCCCCCTGTGCAAATTACCACCAACTGCAGCCTGTTGCATCACTTCTTTCCACTACCAAGGAGACAGAGGTCACAAAACTCAGCTCTAAGAGAGCAATTGTCTTTTTTAATCAGCACAGTGTGGGGGGAAAAAAAAAAAGAAAAGAAAAAGTACCATTTACCAGCAGAAAAGGCCAGACCAAGTCCAGCCAAGTTCATTACAAGGCAGCCAGAGGTGAGCACCACTACAGTGAGTAAGGAGAATACCGAAACCCATTCTAGGCTAAATCTTGCATGTCTTCTAAGTGGTTTATCTCATCTGGCACCACAGAGAGGGATAATGACTGGCCCTCCAGATGGCACACACACACGTCACAGTCTTCTGTCCATCTCACTCACTTCCCATTGGTCAGAACATGTAGCCATAGCTGTCAGAGCCATGGCCTGTGCCCTGGGGTCAGAGGCAGCCACCTACAGGTCCCACTCCCCCAAACTGGCATATAATAAACCAATCATCCGCAAGCAACTTGTCCTGCAGGTCACGCAAAGGATTACTGGCCTTTCGTCCATCAGGGCTCAGAAGATGAGGTGGGGGCTGACTGAATGCATCGTCGATTCCATGCATGTAGAACAGACCCCAAGTTTGCTCTCACATCTACTCAAGGGACATTTCCAACGAGTCTCAAAGCTAGTTTCTGCAGCTGTTCCTTGACCACAGTTTGTAAAAGCAGGAGAGAAACTTGGGCTTTCGCCCCCAGCAGACCACCTAGAGACAAGCAAGGAGTGAGAACAACTGTCACAGTTAAATCCATTACTTCCATTCACGTCTTGAATCTTAAGCCTCAAGTCTTTCAACTTAAAATTCCACAGCGGCATTTACATTAAACATTCACCCCAGCAAAGCATGATGAATAAATGGGACAAATTAAGCTGCGAGCGATAATGTAAAGGCGTGCGTGCCTTCACATAAACACATCGGCATAGTCTTTGACTAAACACAAATCACACAGCACGCCACTATTTAAAATACAGTGGCAGGTATTCACGGTTTGTTTTTTTTAACTGATATGAAAGCCACTTCATTATTCTTATCCATAAATGTAAGTGAGCCCCCAGCTGCTATAATTAAAAAGACAGAACAGAAGATGACCGTCATGATATTGCTTGTCAAGTTCACCATGCCTCATACTGCAGGGGGGGGGGCAGCAGGCAGGGCTGCTAAAATGTGACATTGAGTGCACGTGCACTTAGACACGTATACACAGACAGACACACCCCACAGCTCTGAACCCTCCAATCAGGAAGGGCCGTTCGATAAACAGGGTTTCTGATTTAGAGAACAACCAGGCTTCATATGAAAAATCACCCATGCATGGGGGTGAACAGATGACCTTCTCTAGCTCAAGAAGGGTTAAGGAACAGGACTCAAAAAGCAAATGAGAAAAACTGCATTTTGAGCTTAAAAAAAATAAAATAAAAGTCCTCGACATACATATGGAAATGAACCGTGAACAGTGTAAATACTGGATAAAGGACTGAGGCATATTGTACAGTTTCATGAAATTATCGAAGAAAGAGGAACACTGCCCTAATCTAACAAGCTCTCACAGTGAACACACATGTACTTTCAGTAACAACTAACCAAACAGGGGACGCTACATCAGCTGTGGAATAGTTCCAGAGCTCCGAAAGGCCCGGAGCCAGGTAATTCCCCGGCCCTCGTGACACTCACAGGGATAGGTCAGGTCCACTTCTCCCTGCTCCCTCTCCCGCAGTGCAAATCCAGTGGGCAGAGGGGCGGCCAAACAGCCTGCAAACTATCCCAGAATGCAAAGCAAGCTGAACAAAGTTGCAGAATGTGGCCCAGTTTGAGCCAGACTCATTACCCTTGATTTGTTCTCTTCTAAAAACAAAATCTACCCAGAAGGAGTAAAGAAAAGGCAACAAAAAAGGCCAGTGAGCACTTATCAACAACCATGTTTATTGGGGTGGGCTTTAACCACAACATAGGTACCACTCTCCCTCCTCCTTTTCTAATTTGAATGATGGTCTAGTATTAATGTGCATGTCTCCTATGTGAGGGTCCTACTTACCTATAAAGCTAAAAAAAAAAAACCTTATAAGCAAGACAAAATGATATTTCAACGAGACATCTGTGCTAGAATATGGAAACAAACAGTGGGATTTGTTGAACAGCCTTGCAGTGCACAGTTCAGCAAGCAAAAGATTCTTTCTAGGTATTACAGACTCAAATATGCATGTAGAACATGACATATTACCAAATGACCTGAAGTATTTGCTTAGGTTAAAATGAGAAAGGTGCCCGGCAGTTTGGAGGCTTACGTTTCCAAGTGACCACATTTCTTACTGTCAGACTACACACAACGTCCAATAGCGCACACTTTGGCCCATACACCCTTCCCTGCACCGTAACCTACTTTCGCCTACAGCCAGTCCAGTGGGTATCAGCCAGCACAGTGGGTGATCCATAAACTGGGTCTCTGAAAATCACAGGAAAACACACAATAAACCCCCAGCCCCCTGAACACCGCTGGCTGCCCATTACTGCAGTTTCTACAACATTTTTCAAAAAGTACACACCTTTATCTCTATGGGGCCATCTGCACAACAAATGTCAGGGAAGCCAATCTTCATAGAAGGCCACATGGTCATAATTAACGTCCATTCGCCTGCAGCGAGGTTTAAGGATTCATCTGTGGGGCCAACCCTGTATTGGCCATTATATGAAACTGCCCCATCCACTGCAGAAAAGGATAAATCACCTTTGTTCCACTAACAACACTGAATGGGTAAGAAAGGGGAACCCAAGAGGCCACTGGTTACAGACCAAACCACTGATGGACAACATTTCAGTCACGACTGACAGGAAGCCAGAGATATTCCACGGCACTTAGAGAAAGATGAACTGGCCCTTGATAAAATCAACACAAGCGTCACTCCTACATAGAAATATATTTTATACAACTGAACAGCAGTGTCGGCCCTAAGGTTAGAAAACCTTTGCTTAAAGTGGCCCTGGAGATGGTCACATTCTGACGGTCACCTTCAAAGTGGGACGAAAGTGCTGAGAATGGAAAGTTTGGCCTAAATCTGGAGACAGTTAAAGAAAGAAATACCCTACACCATGGGGGGGGGGGGCAACTTTGGTTAATTGCCACAGGCATTGAAATACGTAGATAAAGAGGTCTCTCGGGTTACAGGAAATTAACAGAGACACATGCGGCCTGTGTTTATGAGCGGCGAGTGTTTACTGCGCATGGAATCTGGGCTGCCGGATCATGTTTCTAGGCCCTCGTGCTTTTCCATTACCCAACTGCGAGGGGGAGCGGCCGGCTGCCAGTGACTCCTGCCTTTTTCAGTAAACCAGCCGTACCCCAGAGCGCGCGGTTAAAACCGGAAGGTTGCACGCCTCGATGTTTGTTTAGGTGACCCACGGATGCAGGCTGAAGCTGTTCGGAGCAGCGGGAGGTTGGGTTTACCATCAGTCACGGTAACCCTGAGCATATTGCTCGACGCGAGAACACGGCAATACACCGCCTACATGCACTCTCGTGCCAGCAGAAACACTTAACATGAATTGGACGGAAATATCCGCAACCCACTACGTGCTGGATTTTTTTAATAAGATAGAATATAACACCTACAGCATTTTCAGCGCTGACCAAAAAGGCCTGCTTGCTGTAAATACTGAGCAGTTCACAGGCAGCTGTTATTCCCAGTTTTCAATGACTCCTGTACACAGGACTTTGTGCACCGGATGGGTTATCACAAGCTCGTTAGGGTTCAAACCAGAGAAGTTAGAGGAAATTAAACCGGGGGTCACAACTAAAGACACACGTTTTGAATCAATTTAAGCTTCTGTTTGTGACATGCATTCAGATTAGGGAAGGAAATGCACTGCATAAGGACCAGCAGTTTTGCATTTGCATCATTTAGCCTCCTGTCATAAAGGCCATGTGTCCTTCCTCCACGCGGACGTCCACTTGCGCTCTGAGTGTCCTGTGTAAGGCCTGCGGCTTGTGGTCCTTCCCACTTCAACAAACAGTCGCAGCAAACCAAACTGTCGGCAGGTCAGGATTTAAAACATGGACCTGGATCTGCAACAATGTAGACCCTAGCAGAGCCTGGTACCCCTGCACAGGCCTGCTATTTGAACATGCGTGGAGTGCTGGAGCAGACTGTGATGGAGTATCGATCATGGCCCAGAACTAACACAGAAAATCTGTTAGCCAAGGAGAGGGGAGTGACATTTCCCCGCTGCCTGACGAGCTCAGATGTAGCAACAAGCAGCTAATGGAGACTCCGCAGGCATGTCCTGTCAATAAGGACAAGAGGGGGCCAATTAAATAGCTCAGTAACTAGTGGCTACCGTGACATCAGAGCCCTCCAACTTTGCCCCCATCTGCTGCATCGCACATAAGCTTTTCTTGCAATTGTATC